TGTATACATTTATAAATCTTATATGTATGTTTGTACATATATAGATACATACAAAGCAAGGTGGTGGGAGAGAGTGAGAGTGAGTCATAAAGAAAGAAAAACATATATATATATATATGTATGTATATATACACATGACCGCTCATTTGTCTTGCAGCGCCATCTGTTAAATCAAAAATGAATAAAATGGTGAATACTAGATTTCGACTTTTCTATATATAAAATCAATATGATTTTGAGGTAGGCATTGTGTAAAAGAAAATGTTTCGAAATGGCTCCTATATATATAATCCTGTCTCCTTAATTCTCATTCTTCTGCCCCCCCCCCTTTCTCATTCCCTCTTCCTTCCCATCTCTTTCCTCTTCCTCTCTTCCACCCTCCTCTCTTTCCCTTATTACTTCTTTCTTCTGCCTCTATTCCATCCTTTTTCTTCCTCTCTTTTTTATTTTCTCTTTATCACTTCTCTTCCACTATTCCCTTTTCGCTGCTGATATTATTATTATAACTATTATTTATTTATTCATTATTATCATAGCATTATAATCCCCATCATCCCGTGAGGTACAATCAATCAACTAGTTGGCACCTCTCCACCATCCGTTATTAGTAAAAAAAAAAAAAAAGAAAAAAGAAAAAAAAAAAAGAAGAAAACAAAAATATTTTGCACATCTATGGCACCTTGTGAGTGTTCTCTTCACATGTTTATGCTAATTGGTGGTCTGAGTTTTTGTATTCTGTGCTTATGAGGGTCATTTTTCTCATTATCCCTTCTCCTATTTTTCCATTATTTCCTCTTCCTTTCATCCCCATCACCCTAATTCCCATCCTAACCTTCACCTCCATTTCCACCCTCCTTCCCATCACCCATGAACATGACGCTCAATACAAGCTTCTTCCTCCCTCAGGATGGAGCCCCCTTCATGAAGCTGCCTCTGGGGGTCATCGTTCCGTCGTAGACGTCCTCCTGGCGGCGGGCGCTGACATTACCGCCAGAAACAGCTACGGTAAGGCGGCGAGATCGACGTTTTCTTTTCTTACTGTTATTATTAACTATAATGATATTATCTTTTAATCATTCTCAGTTTGGTCATTATCAGTGAAAATAATTATGATAATAATAATAAGAAAATTGTAAAATCAATGTGATCATTATTATTTCTATTATTAACATTAATATCACTTTTATTTATTTTTTTATTTCCATTATTGTTAATATTATTGTTGTTATCATTGTTGTTGATATATATATTTATTATTATCATTATATTCTTAATCCCCTAAGACACAAAGCCAAATTAGTTGAAAAAAAAAAAAAATCTCCATTTCCTTAGGCGAGAAGTAATATTGTTTCGGGAAAATTGACTAGTTGGCACCTTCCGCCTGACTCCCGCACTATTTTTGAGAAAAGAAAAATAGTTTGCATGCCATTATTTTGCAGGTTGATGGCGCCTCGTGACTCTTCACACCAAATGATGTTTATGCTAATTGGTGTTCTAAGCTTTTTTATTCCCTGCTTATGAACGCCATTTTTCTGTCACTCAGGGTGCGGGGTTTTGTTGGGAGTTGCCAATTAGTTGTAAAATTAATGAGATCATTACTATTATTATTGATATTGGTATTACTGTTATTTATATTTTATTTCCATTCTTGCTATTATTGTTATTGCTGTTTATTATTGCTGTTGACATTTTTATTATCATAGTATTATAATCCTCAACACAATTTCATTTAAAAAAGTGTATTTCTTTATCTCCATTTTCATTGGTAAGAAGAAATTTTGTGTCGGGAAAATTGACTAATTGGCAACCTCCGCCGAACTCCCCCGCTATTTGTGAGAAAAGAAAATAGATTGCATGGCATTATTTTGCATAATAATGACGCCTTGTGACTGTTCTCTTCACACCCGATGGTGTTTATGCTAATTAGTGGTCTGAGCTTCTGTATTCCGTGCTTATGAAAGTTATTTTTCTGTCACTGAGAGTGCTGGGTTTTGTTGGGAGTTGCCAATTAGTCAATTTCCCAGAGCCAATATTTGTTCCCGAGATATTTAGGACATAATTGACAAATGATTTGTGTTTGTGTGTGCATGTTTTTTTGTGTGTGTGCATGTGTGTGTGTGTGTGTGCATATATATGTGTGAGTGTGCATGTGTGTGTGTGCCTGTATGTATTTGTGTGTGTGTGTGTGTGTGTACACCTGAGAGAGTGTGTGGAGAGGGAAACTCCAGGCCAGTTTTTTTTTTTTTTTTTTTCTCTCCCCTCTCCCTCCCTTTCTCTCTCTCTTTCCTCTTTTCCTTTTCTCTCTCTTCTCTTCCCCCTTTCATTTTTGTCTCCTTTTACTCACTTCCTTTTCTCTTTTTTCCTTCTTTACCTCTATGCTTCCTTTTCCTCCCTTACTCTCTCTCTTAACTTCTACTTTCTCCTCGTCCTCTCATCTCATCCTCTCAAGCAAGATAGAGAGAGGAAGAGAAGGAGGAGAGAGAAAAGGGAGGAGGGGGAGGAGAAAAGAAGAAAAAAATAATAATAGTAAGAGAGTGAGGAAGGCGAAGAGGAGCAAGACAGGAAAAAGAAGACGAAGGGGAAGAGGAAAGTTAGAGAGAATTAGAAAGAAAGAGAGAAAGAAGGAAGAGGAGGCAGAAGACAGCGAGAGAGGGGAAGAGAAAGGAGGAGGAGGAGAGTGAAAGAGAGAGGAGGAAGGGAGTGAGATACGGGGAGAGGTGGAGCAGGATAAAAGAGGGAGAAGGGGAGGAAGATGGAGCAAGAAAAGTAGGAAAGGAGCGAAAGAAAGAGAGCGAGTGGGGGAAAAGAGAAAGAGGAGGAGAAACAGTTTATATATTTGACAGAGCGGGTAGATAGAGGCGGACAGGAGGGACAAGAAATAGTGAGAGAGAGAGATAAAAGAGGAGGAAGAAAGTGAGAGAAGTGAGGAAGACCAAGAGGAAAGGAAGGAGAGAAAGAGAGAGAGAAGAGAACAAGAAGAAGGAATGGCAGATGGAAGGAGGTGAAAGAGAAGGAGAGAGAGTAAGAAAGGATATATAGAAAAACAAAAGATGCTATAAAGGAAAGGAGGAGAGGAGGAGAAAAAGAGGGAGAGAGGAAAGGGGGAAGAAAGAGAGAGTGTGAGTGGATAATGTCAGTCAAGCTACTTAACAGAGTCCTTCCTCTTCCTTCTCTCTCTCTCTTCTTCTTCTCTTGCTCCCTTTCTCTCTCTCTCCCATTCTCTCCTTTGCTCTCGGTCTCCTCTTCCTTTTCCTCTTTCTTTCTAATCTATCTACTGAAGGCGTCGAGGTTCCAAGACTCCAGTTCCGTCTCTCTCTCCCATCTATATAATTGTTATTAATATCATTATTATCAGTATTATTTTCACTATTACTATTATTTTTACTATTGTTATTATTATTACTAATGATATTAATACTGTTATTCTTACTATTATTATTACTAATGATTATTATTATTGTCATTGTAAACATTATTATGATTACAATAATAATAACTATTATTATCATCACCATCATCATTATCATCATTATTTTTAATATCATTGTTATTAATATTAATAATATTATTATTATCATTATATTCATTATTATTATTATTACTATTATTATTATTATTATTATAATGTTGTCGTTGGAGTTACTATAGCTTCTATCTATTATCATTTACAGATCCTGGTTCAGGATCCTCTTCTTCCTTTCTTCTTCTCTACTCTCTCTCTTCCATTTTTTTCCTTTTCCTCTCCTTCCTCTTCCTCATCTCAGCCTCTCGCTTCTTCCTCTGTCCTTCTCCTCTTACTCCTTTCCTCTCTCTTCCTCCTTATTAGCCTCTCATCTTCCCACTTTTTCTCCTTTTTCTTCTCTTCATATCTCTCCCTTTCTTTCTTCATTTCTTATCTCTTCTTCCTTTCTTCTCTGTCTTCTGTTTTCATACTTTTTCCTCCCCCACTCTCTTCTTTACTTTCCTTCCTTTCTTTTTCCTCATCCTCTTTCTTTTTTCCTTCCTCCCTTCCTCTCCCTTTTCTCACTCATTTCCTCTTCTCCAGTTTTCCCTCTCTTTCTTCTCCCTTCCTCTCTCTCTCAATTTACTCGTTTTCCTTTTCATTCCTCTTATTCTTCTCTTTCCCTTACTCTATTCTTCTAATTTACTTTCCTTACCATGCATCCCCACTTCTCTTTCTTCTTCACATCCCCACTTTTTTCTCCCTTCTCTCTCCTCTCACCTTCTCCCTTCTTCTTCTCTTTCTCTTTTTTCACTCTCTAATTTCCTTCTTTTATCTCTCCATCCCTTTTCTCTTCCTTTTCCCTTCTCTTTCGTGTTCATCTTTCTCTTCTTTATTCTTCCTCTTTTCCTCCCTCTCTCTCCTCTTCCACTTTCTCTCATTTCTGTTCGTCATTTCCTGTATATTTCATTTTCCTCCCTTTCTCTTCTTTATTCTTTTCTCATTTCCTCTCATTCTCCTCTTCATTCATTTTCCTCTTCCTCTCTTTCTCTTTCTATCCCTATCTTACATTCCCCTTTCATTTTCTTTCCTTATATCCTCTCTTTTTCTCTTCCTCGCTTTCTCTCTCTTTCCCCTTCCCTTCTTCGTTCTCTCTTTCTCCTGCCTTCTCTTCCCATTCCCCTTTTCCTTCCTTTCCCTTCTCACGCACTCTCTGCTCTTCCTCTATCTTTCATTTTCCTCACCTTTCCTCATTCTTCTCTTCCCCCATTTCTCCTTCTTCCTTCTTTTCCCTCTCTTTTTCTTCTCTTTCTTTTATTACGTCTTCTGTCTCCATTCCTTCCCTTTCCTCCCTCTACTGCTCTTCCCTTTTCGCTCCTATAATTAATATTACTATTACTGTTGCTATTATTATTATCTTCATAGTATTATAATCCCTATCATCCTTTGAGACAATCAATTCAATTAAAAAGGGATATTTCTTTATCTTCATTTTATTTGGCGATTTGTGGAACGAAACATCTCGAGAAGAAATGTCTCGAGAAAATTGACGAATTGGCACCTTTTGCTGTACTTCCTTCCAAGTAGTAAGAAAAACAAAACAAAAAAAAAACATGGTTAGCATGCAAGAAATATGCATGTTGATGGCAACTTGTTTATTGTAATTGATGGTCTGAGCTTCTGCATTCTGCGCTTATGAACGTCATTTTTCTCATACTCAGAATGCTGTTTTTTGCATGAAGTTGTCAATTAGTTAATTTCCTAGAGCCAATATTTGCTCCCGAGATATTTAATTTCCAAATGAGGAGGAGGAAGAGAGAGAGAGTGAAGGAGGAGGAGGAAGAGGGATGGAAGGCAAAATGGGTTTGAGGATTTCCCTATCTTTTCATCCTCCTCCTTCCTCTCTTTTTTTTCTCTTTCCTTTCTCTTCCTCATTCTCTATTGTTCTTCCCTTATTTTCTCTTTTCATCCCATCTTCTTTCTTTCTTTCATCATTGCCGTTGATAGTGTCAAGCCGTGCTACTTACAGGGTCCTTCCTCTTTCTTCTCTCTTTCCTCTTCTTCTTTTTCTCTTCCTTTTTCCTTCCTTCTTCTCTCGCCTTCGTCTTCCTTTTCCTATCTCTTTCTATCCTCTCCTCACTTCTCATCTCTTGACCCTCTCTCTCTCTTTTCCGTAGTTACTTTCATATCTTTCTTTCCCTTTCTCTCCTCTTCATTTCTCTCTCTTCGTCCTCTTCCTCCATCCTTCTCTAATTCTCTTCGCCTCCATCCCCTTCTCTCTTCTCTTCCTCCCTATCTTCTATTTTACTTCTTCCCTTTCTCTCTTGCTCTTCCTTTCCTTAACTTTCTAGTTCTCTCTTTACATTCCCCTTTCCTCTCTCTCTCTCTTATTCTTCTTTTTCCCTCCGTTTTTCACCCTTGCTCTCTTTCTCTCCTTCCATTTGCCTCTGTTCTTCTCTCTCTCTCTCCTCTTCCTCTTCCCTGTCTTCTCTCTTTTTTCCTCCCACCTGTTCCCCTTTCTCTCTCTCTTAACCTTTTTTTTCTCTCTCTCCTAATTCCTTCTCTCTCTCTCTGTCTCCCTTTCTTTCTCTCTCTCTTTCTGTCTCTCCCACTTTCTCTCTTCCGTCGTTCTCTTCGCTGCGTCGTTGTGAAGTGAATCCTTTTCTTCGTTTCCCCAAAGTTGGTGGCGCCCATCGACCCATGCGCCGGCCCTCGCCAGGAGCGCACAGCCAGGCGGACCGTGTGTTTCGAGCCATTGTTAGCGTTAGTCATAATATGTGAAGATTTTTTTATGAATGTTAAAATCAGTATTTTTTATTCGTTTATGCATGGTTTTACTAAAGATTCCTGTATGTGTTAATTGCTTATATATATATACACATATATGTATGTATATGTATGTTTTTTTTCATTCTTTTTCTTTTTTTTTCTATTTCTTTTTTTTTTCTTTCTTTTTCTTTTTTTTCTATTTTTCGTTTTTTCCCTTTCTTTTTTTCTTTCTTTTTCTTTTTTTACCCTTCAATATTTATAAATTCGTGTGGATTATTATGTAGTTATGAATGTTTAATTTATGATTTAACCTTACGAGGTCCACTCTTCCTTTATCTGTTCCTTTCTTTATTATTATTATTATTTATATTATTATTAATATTGTTAATAGTATAAAACTGGTTATAGAACTGCAATGACCATGCCTAGATTATTATTTTTTATTATATTAGCATTATTTTTATTATTATTATTTTGATCATCTTTATTATTCTATTAATATTGTTATTATTATTATCATTACTGTCATTATTATTATAATCGCAATGCTATAATCCTCATGATCCTTTTAGAAACAGAACCAACTCATTTAAAAATTAGAATTTCTTTATTTTCATTTCATTTGGCAATTTGTGGAACGAAACATTTTGAGAAGAAATATTGTCTCGGGAAAATAGACTAATCGGCACCTTCCTCCAAACGCCCGCGTTATTTGTGAGAAAAAAAGTGGTTTGCATGCCATTATTTTGCATGTTGATGGCCCCTTGTGACTGTTCTCTTCACATCCAATGGTGTTTATGCTAATTGATGGTCTGAGCTTCTGTATTCTGTGCTTATGAACGTCATTTTCTGTCACTGAGAGCGCGGGTTTTTGTCGGGAGTTGCCAATTAGTCAATTTCCCAGAGCCGAATGATTTGTGTGTGTGCCCTCCTCCCTCCCTCTGTTACTATTCTCTCTCTCTTCTCTTCCCCCTCCCTCACTGTTATTATTCTCTCTCTCTCTCCCTTCCTCCCTTTCTCTCTGTTATTATTCTCTCTCTCTTCCTCCCTCCCTCTCTGTCACTATTCTCTCTCTCTCCTCTTCCTCCCTTCGTCTCTTCTCATTTACTTCCACTCCTGTCTTTCTCCCAGGAGAAAGACATGAATAGGGGTAGAGAGATGAAAAAATAACGCATTTCTTTATCTCCATTTCCTTTGGCGAGAAGAAATATTGTCTCGGAGAAATGGACTAATTGGAACCTCCCACTTAACTTCCGCACTTTTTGTCGGTAAAAAAAATATTTTTCTTGCCTTTATTTTGCATATTGATGGCGCCTTGTGACTCTTCTCTTCACACCCAATGGTGTTTATGCTAATTGGTGGTCTGAGCTTTTTTATTTCGTGCTTCTGAATGTCATTTTTCTGTCACTCCCCAACTTCGCAAATCACAATCGATCTCTTCACGTGCGTGCTTGCGTGTATATGTGTGTGCATGTATGTATGTGTGCGCGCGCGCGCGTGTGTGTATGTGTTTGTATGTGTATGTGTGAGTACGCACACACACAAACACCTACACACACACACACACACACGTTCACATTCACACACATAGAGAAACACACATACACACACACGCTCATTCACACACACACATACGTACATACACACACACATACGTACATACACACACGCACGCTCACATTTAAACACACACACATACATACACACGCACAAACATCCAAAAACGCGCTCACATTTAAACACACACACACGCTCACGTACGCACACACGCGCGCGCTCACATTCACACACAGACACACACACGCTCAAATCCACACTCTCTAACTCACACACACACGCGCGTGTATATTTATGCACACACACACACGCACACGCACACACACTCACGCATACAGAGGCAAATGCAGTGCAACCGCGGAATCAACCCAAGTGTCTCTTCCTTCGCAGGTTCCCGTCCCCTCCACTGCGCTGCCCAGGGAGGCCGGAGGGAGGCGGTGGAGGCGCTCCTCGCCGGGGGCGCTGACCCCGAAGCCCGGGATGATTATGGTAAGGCGGAGGGAAGCCGAGGACGGCAGAAGTGTTTTGATCATTATTTTTGTAGCTGTTGTTTTTAATTGTTATTATTATTGCTGTTGTTGTTCTTTTTGTTGCATTTGTTGTTATTATTATTATCATCATTTTCATTATTTTTTTAACCATTATTATCATTACTATTATTAGCATTGTTAGCTTTGTTATTGTTGTTGATTTTGTTGCCTTTATTATTAGTAGTATTTCATCATTATTAACTTTTCATTATTATTTTCATTATAATAAAAAAAAACATTAATTAAAATCCTTTTATCACTTTCATATATCTAAAGCCGATATTAGTTTTCATAGTTTCATCTCTGATATGAAAGTGTTTTCTTATTTCTTATTATAAAATATCAGTTGATTTATATTCAAATTGATTATTAACTTTAATATATTAATGTTAGTATCATTGTTATTCTCTTTTATTAGTATTACTACGTTTGTCATTTTTATTAGTATTTTCATCATTATAATGATGATGAGGAATGTTGTTGGTGTTACTATAGGCTCTGCTTATTATTTATAATTGCTTTTTTATCTTCATTTCCTTTGCCGAAGAAATAATGTCTCGGGGAAAATGGACTAATTGGCACCTCTCGTCATAATGCAGCTCTATTAATGAGAAAAAAAGTAGTTTTCATTCCATTATTTTGCAAATTAAGGGCACCTTGTGACTTTTTTATTCACATCCGATGGTGTTTATCGATGAAGTGATCTGAGCTTTTGTATTCGGTGTTTATGAACATTTTTCTGTCACTGAGAGCGCGGGTTTTTGGCGGGAGTTACCAATTAGTCAATTTCCCAGAGCCGAATGATTTGTGTGTGTGTGTGTGTGTGTTTGGAAAGAGGGAAAGTCTAGAGAGAGAAAGGGGATAGAGATGAAAAAACGCATTTCTTTATCTCCATTTTCTTAGGCGAGAAATAATATTCTCTCGGGAAAATTGACTAATTGGCACCTTCCGGCTAACTCCCGCGCTATTTGTGAGAAAAGAAAAATAGATTGCATGGCATTATTTTGCATATTGATGACGCCTTGTGACTGTTCTCTTCACACCCAATGGTGGTTTTGCTAATTGGTGGTCTGAGGTTTTTTATTCTGTGTATATGAACGTCATTTTTCTGTCACTCAGAGCCAACTAGTGAATTTCCCAGTGCTGATATTTGTTCCCCAGATATTTAGGACATAATTGCCAAAGGATTTTTGTGTGTGTGTATTTGTTTGTGTGGATTTCTGTTTCTGTTTGTGTGTGTGTGTGCGTGTGCGTTTGCGTGTACGTGTGTATGCAGGTATGTGTGTGTGTACGTGTGTGCATGTATGTGTGCGCGCGCGTGTGTGTATATGTTTGTGTGTGTACGCAGGGAAGTGAAAGTGTAGAAGGAGGAAAAAGACAGAGAAGTGGAAGATAAAAATGGGAGTGGGGGAGGGAGATAGAGCAGTAAGAGGAAGAAACGAGCAAGAGAAGGATAGTGGAGGAGCAAGAGAGAGAGAGAGGACAGGAGGAAAGAGAGAGAGAGAGAGAGAGCAAGAGGAACAAGAGAATGACAGATGGAAGAAGGAGAAAGAGAGAGTAAGAAAGGAGAGGAGAAGCAAAAGAAAGACATGGTATGGGAGGAAGAGAGGAAAGGAGTAGAAATAGAGGAAGACAGGAAAGTAGGAGGAAGAGAGAGAGATGAGAAGAAAGAGAGGGATAAAGGAGAGGGGGAGCAGGAAGGGAAAGAGGAGAGGGAAAAAGGAGAGGAGGAAGGGAAGGAGAAGAGGAAGAGGAGGAAGAAGAGAGGTGGAAGGCAAAACGGGTTTGAAGTCTTCTTTCCCCTCTCTTTATCCTCCTTCCTCTCTCTTTTTTTTCTCTCTCTCTCTTTCCTTTCTCCTCCTCATTCCCTTTCTCTCTCCTTTCGAAAATTGACTAATTGGCACCTTTCACTATACCCCCTTGCAAGTAGTAAGAAAAAAAGGGTTAGCATGCAAGAAATGTGCATGTTGATGGCACCTTGTGCCTGTTTCCTTCACACCCGGTGTTGTTAATTGTAATTGATGGTCTGAGCTTCTGCATTCTGCGCTTATGAACGTCATTTTTCTCTCACTCAGAATGCGGGTTTTTGCATAAAGTTGCCAATTAGTCAATTTCCTAGAGCCAGTATTTGTTCCCGAGATATTTAATTGCCAAATGGTGAGGAGGAGGAGGAAGAGAGAAAGAGAGTGGAGGAGGAGGAGCAAAATGGATGGAAGGCAAAATGGGCTTGAGGATTTCCCTATCTTTTCATCCTCCTTCCTCTCTTTCTTTTTTCTTCCTCATTCTCTATTGTTCTTCCCTCATTCTCTCTTTTCATCCCATCCTCTTCCTTATTTCTCTTTCTTTCTTTCACCATTGCCGTTGATAGTGTCAAGCCGTGCTACTTACAGGGTCCTTCCTCTTTCTTCTCTCTCTCCTCTTCCTCCTTCTCTCTCTTCCTTTTTCCTTCCTTCTTCTCTCGCCTTCCTCTTCCTTTCCTATCTCTTTCTATCCTCTCCTCACTTCTCATCTCTTGTCCCTCTCTCACTCTTTTCCGTAGTTACTTTCATATCCTTCTTTTCCTTTCTCTCCTCTTCATTTTATTCTCTCTCTTCGTCCTCTTCCTCCATCCTTCTCTAATTCTCTTCGCCTCCATCCCCTTCTCTCTTCTCTTCCTCCCTATCTCCTATTTTACTTCTTCCCTTTCTCTCTTGCTCTTCCTTTCCTTAACGTTCTAGTTCTCTCTTTACTTCACCCCTTCCTCTTATTCTTCTTTTTCCCTCCCTTTTTCACCCTTGCCCTCTTTTTCTCTTTTCATTTGCCTCAGCAGCCGACAGCAGCGCTACTGAAGGCGTCGAGGCTCTCTCCCCCTTTCTACCTCTCTTCTCTTTTATCACTCTTTCTCTCTCTCTCTTCTCTTTTCTCACTCTCTCTCTCTCTCTTTCTCTTCTCTTTTCTCAAACTCTTTCTTTCTCACTTTTTTCTCTCTCCCTCTCCCTCCTTCTCTCTTTCTCCCCCCCACTCTATCTCTCTCTGTCTCTGCCTCTCCCTCCCTCTCTCTCTCTTTTCTCTCGTTCCCTCTCCCTCTCCCCCATCTCTCCCTTTCTCTCTTTCTGCCTATCCCTCCCTCTTTCTCTCTCCTTTCTCTCTCGTCCTCTCCCTCTCCCTTTCTCTCTCTTTCCTTCTCCATCTCTCACTCTTTCTCTCTCTCTCCCTTTCCCCTTCCCCTCTCTCTCTCTCTCTCTTTTCTCTCTCTGTCTCTTTCCCTCTCTCCCTCTTCCTCCCTTTGTCTATTTTTCTTCTCTCTCTCTCTCTTCCGTCGTTCTCTTCGCTGCGTCGTTGTGAAGTGAATCCTTTTCTTCGTTTCCCCAAAGTTGGTGGCGCCCATCGACCCATGCGCCGGCCCTCGCCAGGAGCGCACAGCCAGGCGGACCGCGTGTTTCGAGCCATTGTTAGCGTCTTCCCTGCCTTTCGCTTTCAGTCATTATATGTAAAAAAAAAAATTATGAATGTTAAAATTAGTCTTTTTTATTCGTTTATGCATGGTTTTACTAAAGATTCCTGTGTGTGTTGATTGCTTATATATATATTTTTTTTTCTTTTTCTTTTTCTTTTCTTTTCTTTTTTTTTCTTTTTTTTCTTCCTTTTTCTGTTTTTCCTTCTTTTCTTTCTTTTTCTTCTTTTTCTTTCTTTTTCTTTTTCTATTTTTCTTTCTTTTTCTTTTACGCATCAATATTTATGAATTCGTGTCGATTAATATGTAGTTATAAATGTTTGATTTGTGATTTAACCTTACGAGGTCCACTGAACCAAAGCATTATGAAGCCTTTAATGATTTCTTTCACCTTTGTAAAAGTTTTATTTGATGAATACATTTTTTCACACAACGGCAGCCAACCATAGTAGCTGTTCCAGTTTCTATTTTCATGACGAGTAAGAATGAAACGAAAAATAAGAGAGACTTTTGGTGCGAGTGGAACGCTGCAGTTGGAGGCTCGGCTCTGGCATCACTCGTGGTCTGTCATTATTATTCCCGTAATTATCATTATTATTGTTTTATTGCTATGACTGTCATTATTTTTTTTTCATCACTAGCATTATTTTTCTTGCTGTTATAATTATTGTTATTATTGTTGTTGTTATTATTATAGTCATTATCCCGTTTCCATCTTCCTCTCTTTTTCTCTCTCCTTTCCTGACTTCCTTTCTATTTTTCCCCTTCCTTCTTTTTCTCCCTCTCTCTGCTCTCTGCCTCCCTTACTCTCTCCTCTTCCTTTCTTCTCTCTCTCATTTCTGTTTCTTTCTCCCGTTTTTGCCATTTCCTTTCCCTTCTTTTTCTTTTCTCCTACTCTTTGCTCTTCCTGTTTTCATTTTCCTTCGTCTTCTTCCCTCTTTCCTCTACCTCCTTTTCCTCCATCTCACTGATATTCTCTATTTATCCCTTTTTTTCTTATTATTCTTCGCTTTTCCTTTGTCTTCCCTCTTCCTCTTTTTATTTTTCTCTCTTCCTTTATCTGTTCCTTTCTTTATTATCATTATTTATATTATTATTAATATTGTTAATAATATAAAACTGGTTATAGAACTGCAATGACCATGCCTAGATTTTTTTTTTTTTTATTATATTAGCATTATTTTTATTATTATTTTTATCATCTTTATTTTTCTATTACTATTGTCATTAGTATTATCATTATTGTCATTATTATTATAATCGCAGTGCTATAATCCTCATGATCCTTTTAGAAACAGAACCAACTCATTTAAAAATTAGAACTTCTTTATTTTCATTTCATTTGGCAATTTGTGGAACGAAACATTTTGAGAAGAAATATTGTCTCGGGAAAATAGACTAATCGGCACCTTCCTCCAAACGCCCGCGTTATTTGTGAGAAAAAAGTGGTTTGCATGCCATTATTTTGCATGTTGATGGCCCCTTGTGACTGTTCTCTTCACACCCAATGGTGTTTATGCTAATTGGTGGTCTGAGCTTTTTTTATTTCATGCTTCTAAATGTCATTTTTCTGTCACTCCGAGCGCGGGTTTTTGTCGGGAGTTGCCTATTAGTCAATTTCCCAGAGTCAATATTTGTACCCGAGATATTTAGGACATAATTCAGCCTCCGGGCTAGTACAGTGGTAACGTGTCGACCTCTCATCTGAGGGGTCGGCGGTTCGCGCCCCGCCCAGGCGCGAGAAGTTGCAATTGTCGCCTGGAGGTTACTGCTGTGGCCGGGCACCACGGTGGGTAAGGACTAAGCTCACCCGAGTCAGCACCTGCTGACACACTGATAGCGAGTCGACATACGTCGGCACAGGCCGGGCTCCCCCATAGCCCGGGCGAGGTCCACAGCTTCGCATATCGGACTTATCCTTAGGACATAATTGTCAAATTCTTCTGTGCCTCCGTTTCTCATTCCCTCTTCCTTCCCTTCTCTTTCCTCTTCCTCTCTTCCACTCTCTTCTCTTTCCCTTATTACTTCTTTCTTCTGTCTCCATTCCTTTCTTTTTGTTCCTCTCTCTGTTATTTTCTCTTTATCACGTCACTTCCGCTCTTCCCTTTTCACTGCTGATATTATTATTGTTATTACGATTATTTTTTTTCTTTTATCATAATCATAGTACCATAGCATTACATAGCATTATTCATTAATCCTAACATTACTACTATTATTTCTTTTTTATTATTATCATAGCATTATAATCTCCAACATCCCGTGAGGCATAATCAGTTCGGGAAAATTGACTAGTTGGCATCTCCACCATCCATTATTAGTACCTTGTGACTGCTCTCTTCACGTGCGTGCATGTGTGCATGCGTGTATATGTGTGCATGTATGTATGTGTGCGCGCGCGCGTATGTGTATGTGTTTGTATGTGTATGTGTTTCTATGTGTATGTGTGAGTACACACACACACGTTCACATTCACACACATAGAGAAACACACATACACACACACACACTCTCATTCACACACACACATACGTACATACACACACACACACGCTCACATTTAAACACACACACACATACATACACACACACAAACATCCACACACGCGCTCACATTTAAACACACACACGCACACACACACACACGCACACACACTCACGCATACAGAGGCAAGTGCAGTGCAACCGCGGAATCAACCCAAGTGTCTCTTCCTTCGCAGGTTGGTCGCCCCTCCACAGCGCTGCCCAGGAAGGCCGGAGGGAGGCGGTGGAGGCGCTCCTCGCCGGGGGCGCTGACCCCGACGCCCGGGATGATTATGGTAAGGCGGAGGGAAGCCGAGGATGGCGGCAGTGTTTTGATCATTATTTTTGTAGCTGTTGTTTTTATTATTATTTCTGTTGTTGTTCTTTTTGTTGCATTTGTTATTGTTATCATTATTATTATTATCATTTTCATTATTTTTTAACCATTATTATCATTACTATTATTAGCATTGTTAGCTTTATTATTATTGTTGTTTTTTGTTGTTTTTATTAGTAGTAGCATTTTATCATTATTACTTTTTCATTATAATTATTTTCATTATAATAAAAACATTATTTTTTTACCACTTTCATATATTTGAAGCTGGTATTAGTATTCATAGTTTCATCTCTGATATGAAAGCGTTTTCTTATTTTTTATTATAAAATATCAGTTGATTTATATTCAAATTAATTACTAACTTTAATATATAAATGTTATCATCATTGTTATTCTCTTTTATTAGTATCACTATCGTTGTCATTGTTATTATTAGCATCAAAGCTGTTATTATTATTATTATAACTAGTTTTGTTAGCATTTTCATCATTATTATGATGAGAAGGAGGAATTTTGTTGGTCTTACTATAGATTCTGTTCATCATTTATAATTGTTTGTTTGTTTTTATCTTCATTTTATTTGGCGATTTGTGGAACGAAACATCTCGAGAAGAAATGTCTCGAGAAAATTGTCTAATTGGCACCTCTCCTCACAATGCAGCTCTATTAGAGAGGAAAAAAGTGGTTTTCATGGAATTATTTTGCGAATTAAGGGCACCTTGTGACTGTTTCCTTCACATCCGATGGTGTTTATGTGAAGAAGTGGTCTGAGCTTTTGAATTCCGTGTTTATGAACGTCATGTTTCTGTCACTGAGAGCGCGGGTTTTTGGCGGGAGTTGCCAATTAGTCAATTTCCCAGAACCGATTAATGTGTGCGTGTGTGTCTGGAAAGAGGGAAAGTCTAGTCCAGTTTTTCTACTTCTTGACAGAGTTCCATCACAAAAGGCAGTCATTTCCAAGGCAAGAAATGCACATCGGCAATTATTATGCGCCACAATTGGAGGGGCCCTTCCTGTCCCTGCGTTTGCTTTCTTCTTCGTCCCTTTGTCTCTCTCCTCCTCCCTCCCTCTCGGTTACTACTCTCTCTCCTCTTCCTCCCTTCGTCTCCTCTCATTTACCTCCATTCCTGTCTTTCTCCAAATCCTCCCTTGCTTCCTCTTTCTTCTATCCCATTCTTTCCCTATCGACATTTTCTCTCTCCTCTCTCCCTCCCAAAAAATTGAGAGTGAGGGGGGGGGTAGAGCGAGGGGGTAGAGAGAGAGAAGGGGGAGTAAAGAGAAAGGGGGGTAGAAAAAGAGGAGGAATAGAGAGAAAATGGGGATAGAGATGAAAAAAACGCATTTCTTTATCCCTATTTTTTTTTTTTTTTTTTTTTTTTTTTTTTAGATTCGCGAAGCAGAGCCTCGCCCGGGCTATGCCTATTTGGGGAGCCCGGTTTTTATATATCTCTATTTCCTTAGGCGAGAAGAAATATTGTCTCGGGAAAATTGACTAATTGGCACCTTCCGCCAAACTCCCGCGCTATTTGTGAGAAAATAAAAATAGATTGCATGGCATTATTTTACATATTGATGACGCCTTGTGACTATTCTCTTCACACCCAATGGTGGTTTTGCTAATTGGTGGTCTGAGGTTTTTTATTCCGTGCTTATGAACGTCATTTTTCTGTCACTGAGAGCGCGGGCTTTTTGTCTGTAGTTGCCAACTAGTCAATTTCCCAGTCCCGTTATTTGTTCCCGAGATATTTAGGACATAATTGCCAATGGATTTGTGTGTGTGTTTATTTGTGTGGATTTCTCTTTCGTGTGTGTGTGTGCGTGCGTCTATGTGTGTGTGCGTGCGTCTATGTGTGTGTGCGTGTGCGTATGTGTGTTTGCGGGTATGTGTGTGTGTGTGTGCATGTATGTATGTGTGCGCGCGCGCGTATGTGTATGTGTTTGTATGTGTATGTGTTTCTATGTGTATGTGTGAGTACACACACACACGTTCACATTCACACACATAGAGAAACACACATACACACACACACACTCTCATTCACACACACACATACGTACATACACACACACACACGCTCACATTTAAACACACACACACATACATACACACACACAAACATCCACACACGCGCTCACATTTAAACACACACACGCACACACACACACACGCACACACACTCACGCATACAGAGGCAAGTGCAGTGCAACCGCGGAATCAACCCAAGTGTCTCTTCCTTCGCAGGTTGGTCGCCCCTCCACAGCGCTGCCCAGGAAGGCCGGAGGGAGGCGGTGGAGGCGCTCCTCGCCGGGGGCGCTGACCCCGACGCCCGGGATGATTATGGTAAGGCGGAGGGAAGCCGAGGACGGCGGCAGTGTTTTGATCATTATTTTTGTAGCTGTTGTTTTTATTATTATTTCTGTTGTTGTTCTTTTTGTTGCATTTGTTATTGTTATCATTATTATTATTATCATTTTCATTATTTTTTAACCATTATTATCATTACTATTATTAGCATTGTTAGCTTTATTATTATTGTTGTTTTTTGTTGTTTTTATTAGTAGTAGCATTTTATCATTATTACTTTTTCATTATAATTATTTTCATTATAATAAAAACATTATTTTTTTACCACTTTCATATATTTGAAGCTGGTATTAGTATTCATAGTTTCATCTCTGATATGAAAGCGTTTTCTTATTTTTTATTATAAAATATCAGTTGATTTATATTCAAATTAATTACTAACTTTAATATATAAATGTTATCATCATTGTTATTCTCTTTTATTAGTATCACTATCGTTGTCATTGTTATTATTAGCATCTAAGCTATTATTATTATTATTATAACTGTAGTTGTTGTTAGCATTTTCTTCATCATTATTATGATGAGAAGGAGGAATTTTGTGGGTCTTACTATAGATTCTGTTCATCATTTATAATTGTTTGTTTGTTTTTATCTTCATTTTATTTGGCGATTTGTGGAACGAAACATCTCGAGAAGAAATGTCTCGAGAAAATTGTCTAATTGGCACCTCTCCTCACAATGCAGCTCTATTAGAGAGGAAAAAAGTGGTTTTCATGGAATTATTTTGCGAATTAAGGGCACCTTGTGACTGTTTCCTTCACATCCGATGGTGTTTATGTGAAGAAGTGGTCTGAGCTTTTGAATTCCGTGTTTATGAACGTCATGTTTCTGTCACTGAGAGCGCGGGTTTTTGGCGGGAGTTGCCAATTAGTCAATTTCCCAGAACCGATTAATGTGTGCGTGTGTGTCTGGAAAGAGGGAAAGTCTAGTCCAGTTTTTCTACTTCTTGACAGAGTTCCATCACAAAAGGCAGTCATTTCCAAGGCAAGAAATGCACATCGGCAATTATTATGCGCCACAATTGGAGGGGCCCTTCCTGTCCCTGCGTTTGCTTTCTTCTTCGTCCCTTTGTCTCTCTCCTCCTCCCTCCCTCTCGGTTACTACTCTCTCTCCTCTTCCTCCCTTCGTCTCCTCTCATTTACCTCCATTCCTGTCTTTCTCCAAATCCTCCCTTGCTTCCTCTTTCTTCTATCCCATTCTTTCCCTATCGACATTTTCTCTCTCCTCTCTCCCTCCCAAAAAATTGAGAGAGAGGGGGGGGGGGTAGAGCGAGGGGGTAGAGAGAGAGAAGGGGGAGTAAAGAGAAAGGGGGGTAGAAAAAGAGGAGGAATAGAGAGAAAATGGGGATAGAGATGAAAAAAACGCATTTCTTTATCCCTATTTTTTTTTTTTTTTTTTTTTTTTTTTTAGATTCGCGAAGCAGAGCCTCGCCCGGGCTATGCCTATTTGGGGAGCCCGGTTTTTATATATCTCTATTTCCTTAGGCGAGAAGAAATATTGTCTCGGGAAAATTGACTAATTGGCACCTTCCGCCAAACTCCCGCGCTATTTGTGAGAAAATAAAAATAGATTGCATGGCATTATTTTACATATTGATGACGCCTTGTGACTATTCTCTTCACACCCAATGGTGGTTTTGCTAATTGGTGGTCTGAGGTTTTTTATTCCGTGCTTATGAACGTCATTTTTCTGTCACTGAGAGCGCGGGCTTTTTGTCTGTAGTTGCCAACTAGTCAATTTCCCAGTCCCGTTATTTGTTCCCGAGATATTTAGGACATAATTGCCAATGGATTTGTGTGTGTGTTTATTTGTGTGGATTTCTCTTTCGTGTGTGTGTGTGCGTGCGTCTATGTGTGTGTGCGTGTGCGTATGCGTGTATGTGTGTTTGCGGGTATGTGTGTGTGTGTGTGCATGTATGTATGTGTGCGCGCGTGTGTGTGTATGTATTTGTTTGTGTATGTGTATGTACGCCTGTGAGTGTGTATGTGTGGGTATGTTTATATGTGTGTGTGTGTATACGCCTGTGTGTGTGTGTGTACGCCTGTGTGTATGTTTATATGTGTGTATGTGTTTCTGTGTGGGTATGTGTGTGTGCGTGTGCGTATGTGTGTTTGCGGGTATGTGTGTGTGTGTGTGTGTGTATGTATTTGTTTGTGTATGTGTGTGTACGCCTGTGAGTGTGTATGTGTTTGTGTGTGTGTATGTGTGTGTACGCCTGTGAGTGTGTATGTGTGGGTATGTTTATATGTGTGTATGTGTGTGTGTGTACGCCTGTGTGTATGTGTGTATGTTTATATGTGTGTATGTGTTTCTGTGTGTGTATGTGTGTGTACGCCTGTGAGTGTGTGTGTGTGTGTGTGTATGTTTATATGTGTGTATGTGTTTGGGTGTGTATGTGTGTGTACGCCTGTGAGTCAGTGTGTATGGAGAGGGAAACTCTAGGCCAGTCTTCATTTTTTTCTCTCTCTCTTTCCTCTTTTCCTTTTTTCTCTCTTCTCTCCCCCCTTCCTCCTTTTCTCTTTTTTCCTTCATTGCCCCTTTTCATTTCCTCCCTTACTCTCTCTCTTATCATCTATAGGAGAAGAAACTAATGATAATAATAAGAGAGTGAGAAAGGCGAGGAGGAGGAGGAGAGGCAAAAAAAAAAAAAAAAAAAAGACAAGGGGGAACAGGAAAGTAGTTAGAAAGAGGAGGATTAGGAAAAGACCGACAGAGAGGAGGAGGTAGAAGAGGGTGAGAGGGAGGAAGAGAATGGGGAAAAGAGATAGGAGGAGGAGGAGGAGGAAGAGAATGAGAGAGAGGACGAAGAAGAGGAAGAGGGAGGTGAGAGTGTAGAAGGAGGAAAAAGACACAGAGAGGTGGAAGATAAAAATGGGAATGGGGAAGGGAGATAGAGCAATAAGAGGAAGAAAAGAGCAAGAGAAGGATAGAGGAGGTGCAAGAGAGAAAGAGAGGACAGGAGGAATGAGAGAGAGAGAGCGGGCAGGGGGAAGGAGAGAGAGAGAGAGAGAAGAGGAACAAGAGGTTGAAAGAAATCATTAAAGGCTTCATTCTGCTTTGGTAAATCAGTCATTATTATTATTTTTTTTTTTCATCATTGTAATTATTGTTATTCTTGCTGTTATTATTATTATTGTCATTATTCGGTTTTCATCTTCATCTCTTCTCTCTCTCCTTTTCTGTCTTCCTTTCTATTTTTCCCCTTTCTTCTTTTTCTCCCTCTCTCTGTTCTCTACCTCCCTTTCTCTCTTCCTTTCTTTTCTCTCTCATTTCACTTTCTTTCGTCTGTTTCTCCCATTCCCTTTCCCTCCTTTCTCTTTTCTCCTACTCTTTGCTCTTCCTGTTTTCATTTTCCTTCGTCTTCTTCGCTCTTTCCTCTATCTCCCTTTCCTCCATCTCACTGATATTCTCTATTTATCCCTTCTTTTCTTAGTATTCTTCCCTCTACCTTTCTTTTTATTCTTCCCTCTTCCTTTATCTTTTCCCTTCCTTTCTTTATTATTATTGTTACTATTATTGCTATAATTAATAGTATTATGATTATAGTATTATAGTATACTAATTTAGGATACTAATATAGTATACTAATGATAGTATCCTAATATATATGATTATAGTCTACTACTAATAGTATTATGATTATATTACTGCATATATTATTATTAACATTATTTCGATCATCTATACTATTCTTACTAATGTTGTTATTATTATTAGTGTTATTATTATTATTATTGTTCTTTCATTATCATTGTTATTGCTGTTACTATTACCATTATTGTTAATATTATTATTATTGTTATCGTAATGCTATAATCCTCATGATCGTTTGAGAAACAGGACCAATTCATTTAAAAATCCGAATTTCTATATTTTCATTTCATTTGGCGATTTGTGAAACGAAACATTTTGAGAAGAAATATTGTCTCGGGAAAATAGACTCGTTGGCACCTTGATCGAAACTCCTGCATTATCTGTAAGGAAAAAACGTGGTTTGCATGCCAGTATTGTGCATGTTGATGACCCCTTGCGACTGTTTACTTCACATCCGGTGGTGTTTATGCTGATTGGTGGTTTGAGCTTCTGCATTCTGTGCTTATGAACATCATTTTTCTCCCTAACTCAGAGCGCGGATTTTTGTCGCAAGTTGCCAATTAGCCAATTTCCCAGAGCCGATATTTGTTCTCATGGTCTATTATATTGAAGAAAATTGCCAAGTGATGTGTGTGTGCGTGCGTGTTTGTGTGTGTGTGTATACAGGCGTATGTGTGTCTCAAAAGGCAGTCATTTCCAAGGCAAGAAATGCACATCGGCAATTATTATGCGCCACACTTGGAGGGGCCCTTCCTGTCCCTGCGTTTACTTTCATCTTCGTCTCTTTGTCTCTCTCCTCCTCCTCCTTTCCTCTTTCTTCACTTGTGTGCATGAGGTGTGCATTCCTCCGAAAGATCAACTCTTATACTTATTATTGTTAATTTCTTATTATCGAATTATTAAATTTCATCATTTAATATTAAATGATTAAATTATATTATTAAGTTTATTGCATGATATATATTTTTTTAATTGAACCAAATGCTAATGATTAAATTCTTCGTATTCCTTATGAAAACACTTTCCTCTGGCGTCTGTGCAATTCCTCCTCCTCAGCTGATTTTTTTCTTTGCATTTCGCTAAATCGTTTTTTTTTCTCTCTCTCTCTCTCTCACTTCATCTAAAGTTGTCGTTGTTCACCGTTTCTCTTTAGAATTTTTGGTCTTCTTAGGTGTGACTTTAGCAGATTCTCTGATCATTTCACTCGCTCGGTTCCGAGAAGCATTCAGATCTGTCATTTCTTGCAAACAGTTAAGTTCTTACGTTCTAGTTCTTTATCTGATTCTTGTTCCTACTTTATTCTTACCATCATTAAAGTCTTTATTATCATATGATCGTCATCGTTATGTGAATTAATATCATTATTATCATCTGTGTGATTACCATCCGTTGGCAATTGTTCCAACCGTCATATAGTTTCATATTTATTGTTTTTTATCCTTATCTTTCTTTTCGTTTTGTTGGATTTTTTTGTCCATTTGCGTTCATTACTAATACTTTTGCTTTTAGTTTTATTATTCTTACCTCACCATTATTGTAGCTTTTGCTATTATTTTTGGAAATAATATTACTTTTATCATCATCATTATCATCAAAGTGTTTCATGGTATCAATGTCAGTAGAGTAATTATTC